TGCCTCAAGAGAGCGTTTCTATTTGCCTGAAAATTCTACTTTAACAAAGATCTATTTTATTGAAGACTTATTTTGTGTGTGTCTAAAAATCTAACTCTATGTCCCTAATTAGGGACATCTAAGAAAAGAATTGTGGTTGACTTTATTTATTTTAATTTAGTAAGTGGAACTTTTGAAGGCTCCAGGGTCACCCTTCTAAGGAGCTCTTCCCTAGGGCTAAGAGGAAGCTCAAGAGACTGAAAAAATGGGAAAGGCTGTAGAAGTCTCATGGTTAACTACAACCCTTCGTTCCCTCCTTTTCTCTCTATGCAATTTGATTTCTCTAAATACTGCATCGAGATTGCCAGGGCAGGACAGTGAGGATGTTCCTCTATCTTGTATTCTTTCAAAGGCCGTTTCAGGTTTAGCTAGAATTTAATCCCTTGATGGAGAATCCAGTGAAAAATTATGCAACTTGAATCTAGGACCTGAGGCCAAGACACTCCAGTTAACTTAGCTTCTGTTAAACTGCTTACTTTTGCAAAACCAACCCCTTTCAGCCCCAGAGCAAGACACCAGGGTGAGGTTTTTATTTTTAAAACCCCTTGTTCTAAATGCTCAGGGCTACACTTGTAGTCCCAGTTGGCTGGAATAAAGGCTTTCAGTTGGCTATAAATCGCATCTGAGTGGTCATCTCTGGTGTGCTCCCTATAACAAGAAATGCAGAATGCATGTGTCCATGACATGGTTCTGGGTCACTGGGGGCTCCCCATTATAATCTGTTATCAGGCTTGTCTGCAACTGAAAGCACCTCATCAGCAGAGAATATTCATGCAGACACTGTTGCATTTGACAACTAAAGGAAAATGTCTTCAATCCTATTAACTATCTAAATCTTTTTTTTCTTTTAACTGTAAGATTTATTTCATTATCTTTGTGTTTATGTGTGTCTGTCTGTGTAAGTGTATGCCATGAACCACACAGATGCTCATGAAGAGCAGAAAAGGGGGTCAGATGCCCTGGAACTTGAGTTACAGCGGATTTTGAGTGACCTGGCCTGAATACTGGGAAGAGCCGCTCACATTCTTCATTGATGAGCCACACCTCCAGCCCCTAACTGCCCAAATCTAAGGGGCAGGGGAACTCAGCCGAGCCAGGCACATTAGTCACTGCATATTCCATCCAAAACGAGCTTCAATTTAGATCAGTGAATGTTTTGTGCCATACAGGTAAACGAGGAGAGACAGAAGGGATGGGAAGAAAGACAAAAATATCCCAACATATGGGTAGCCACGGAACTGACAGATGGGGACCATTTTAGTCCAAGAAAGACAGATTAAGAAAGAGAAAGGTGTTTGAACCAAATCCACAGATGTGGTGGGATATTATGCTATTACTGCTGTGTCTTAATACCATGAAGCAATCCTGTTATCCTCTTTCTTGCAAATGTGAGGGAAGAAAAATCTGACAGCCAGGGCATGGAAACAATGTCTCTCTCCAGAAGGCTTATCTCAGAGTCATTCCAATTCTGCTAAAAGACAACTCTGGGAATTCCCTCACCACTCCTTTTTAATAAAATGGCAGGGTTAGAGGAGGGGGGTGGCAACCTCTAAGTCTCTAAGTAGAGAGAACCAAAGAGCCTGCTAAAACCTAAATTCCTATTAGAACCAATAAATGAGGGAGGAAGGAACACATGTTGTTAGTTGGTTCCAGAGTCTAAGCACAGGCAAACCCTGTAGACCTGTCCGTCTAAAATCTGATTATTATCCTTTCTAGGACCTCTGGCACAGGACATTAATGAAAACTTTCCTTGGATTCACACAAGAAGAGAAGATCAGGAGATGGAGACTCCAGAGCCAGGCAGGATGGCAGGTACCTATAATCAATCAACTCTCAGAAGCTGGGAGGAGAGGTTGCTGTGACTTCAAAGCTAGCCTGGGCTACGAGTAAAGCTGTCTCAAAGCAAAAGAGAGGAAGAGGAAGGAACACCAAAACAGTCATGCTACAACCTGAGACAGAGTCAAGATCGCTATTATAGATGATTCAAAGGGTTTTCATTAGCTTCCTAATTCCTACTAGAACATCATCTCAGACCAGGTAAGATATGAAGAGTTGGTCTTAGAGGGCGAGTTAAGCAGACGTGCCCATCTCTCTATTTGGTATTATTAACACACAAAGGGACTATCCTTCTTTGTTTTGTTCTGCTTTGCTTTTCAAGACAAGGTTTCTCTGTAAAACAATCCTGGATGTCCTGAAACTCACTCTGTAGACTAGGCTGACCTAGAACTCCCAGAGTTCTTCAAAGGAAAAAAAAGAGAAAACAACCACAAAAAGGAAATGTTGTCCTTAAGATATTTTGCTAACTGGCAAATGAAAAGTCTTCAGATTCTAGAAGTAAGAGTTCTGTTTTGTGGAGGATATTATGTAAAGCATGGCTTCCTTCCTGGAGCATCCTGGCGACATCCCAGAAGCCCCCAAACAAAACTGTAGTGCTGTGGTGTGCATGTAAAAATGTCTCTCATTAAACCTTGGAGCACTCAGCCATAAAGGGAAAGGCTCCATCATTCCCTCCCCACAAGGCTCAGGGAACCCTTGGGAGAAGAGGCAGAAAGAGTATGAGAGCCACAGGGGATGGAGGGCATCAGGGGAACAAGGTTCTCTGAATCAACAGGATAAAGCCCACACAGTCTGCACTGGTCTGTGTGCCAGGTCCTCTGCATTTACATTAGGGTTCCAGGTTAGTATCTTTATGGGATCCCTGAGTGTGCTAACAAGTGATCTCTGCTTCTTGTGCTTTCTCCTTTGTTTTGTCTACTTCTCATGAGTTAGGTTTTGTTTCATCTTAGTATATTATACTTTATTTTGTCTTATTATTTGTTTTCTAATGAGGAACAGAAAGGGGAAGATGTAGAGGGGGGAGAGGGAATGAGCAGCTGGGAGGAGTAGAGGGAGGGGAAACAGAGTCGTGAGGGAAAAATCTATTTTCAAGAAAAGGGATGGAAAAATGTCTCTCCCAGGCTCAAGAGCTTCTATGCTTGACCCTCAGTTGCTGATGCTGTTTTGCAGGGTTATATATAAATTCTTAGGAACTGGCCTCTCAGTTGAAGACATGGGTCTCTGTGGGGAGGGGTGCAGTTTAAGAATCTCAAACCACTCTTCTTTCTACCCCCCTCTTCTGCTTCCTAGTCCATCCAGACATGATCAAGCAGCTTTACGTCCAAGATCTTTACCTACCCACCATGATGCACTATGTACCTTCTAACGAGAAGCCAAAATAACCTCTCCTGTTTGAAATTACTCTCTGTAATGTAGTTGGTCCCAGCAACAACTTTAGTTGAGAAAAGTAAACAATGCACCATCAGAGCCCCCTGGAATTAGAGTTACAGATGACTGTGTGCAGCCATGTGGGTGCAGGAATCGAACGTGTGTTCTATGAGAGCAGTAGGCACTCTTAACCACTAAACAATCTCTCTAGCTCCAGAATGACTATTTTTAAATCAAATATTGAACACACCACTTAAGATCTGAACCCAGATGTTTAGGAAAAGTGCATTTTGAGCCATGCCTGTGCACCCTGTATTCTGGAGTGGCTTCTGTGGTCTTTTGACACCAGTGGATGACAGGAAATGAGGGAATACATGAGGGCCACAGCCTGTTGGAACCTGGCTTCAATATTCGCAGAGTATCTTGGGAGTCAGCTGAGTGGCTTTAGATCAGTTCTTTCAGTTCTTCTCAACCTGTGGGTCATGACCACTTTGCGATGGCATATCAGATAGATGTTTACTATATGATTCATAACAGTAGCAAAATTACAGGTACAAAGTAGCAATAAAGTAATTTTATGACCAGGGGTTATAAACCCTGGTATTAAAGGGTTGCAGCATTAGGAAGGTTGAAAACAACTGCCTTAAATATATTCTTTCATTAAAAACAAAACAAAAAACACACAAATAAACCCCTCAGAAAACACCCAGTCATAACAAAATCTTTTCTGTTCAATATACCACCTAATCATTATAAAGCATTTCCATGATAAAAAAACAAACAAACAAAAAATCAAATTCAACATTAGTGAATGTTCATAAAACATTTGCCATGAGAAAACTACCTCCATATCCCAGATTAGTTAAGAGACAGAAAGAAAGGAGGGAGGAAGAAAGAAAGAAAGAAAGGAAGGAAGAAAGAAAAATGGAATCATCAGATTAATGATACCAATGGCCATTTAGTCCAAGCCACGAATCTTATTTTGGTTCTGAGCTTCCCCAAAAAATAATTTGATAAACACGATAACTACATCTCCAATGAAATACATTGAGTCTTAAACCTTAATGAACCCATTTTGCTAAGGGTTTTATTTCTTATTAAACATTAACAATCTAATACATAATTCAATACCTTGGACATTTGGTAAGAACTTTCATAGATCAGCAAAAGGTCCCTGGCCTGTATGGACTCAGAAATTAAAATCCAAATGTGTGTCAGGCAGTGCGGACACACACCTTTAATCCCAACACTTGGGAGGCAGGGCCAGGCAGATCTCTGTGAGTTTAAAGAAGGCCATCCTGGTCTACAGAGTGAATTCTATGATAGCCAGGACTGTTTCACAGAGAAACTCTGTCTCAAAAAACAAACAAACAAACTAGAAAGAAAGAAAGAAAGAAAGAAAGGAATGAAGGAAGAAAGAAAGAAGGAGGAGGAAAATGAGGATGAGGACAAGGAGGAGAAAGAGGAGGAGAAGAAGATGATAATGACAAAATGTGTATAGTGGAGAGTTCAAATCGCTACCTGAGAAGATCATGTGAGAAGCTACCTTTTGGGTTATTAACATTATGAGTCTTGCAGTTAGTTCATCTTTTGGCACAGCTGTTTTCCAAGTGCTAATAGATTGCTATCTGTGTATTCATAGATGAGATGACAAATAGTCACCTGAATTAGTAATATCTAAAATGCAACCCCGGAAAGGAACACTCTGAAAAACCATAACAAAGTTCTTGTGGTAAAAATAGGAAGAAAAACCATACCTGTCTCCTCAGATCTCTTGTTTTCTTGGTCATCTTGTCAATTGCAATGTTGAGAGGGTCTCCCTTTTCTTTCCTTCCAGTCTATTAATAAAAAGAAAACAGTTCTTGTTTATAAAATTCAATATCAGGGACATTAATAAGAAAACAAAACATGGCTGTGTGACTGAAGTTATTTTCTGAACAAATTAAAATTTAAAAGTCAGTAGAATTCCAAGATAGTTATATCCATGTTCAACTCCCTTCAAATCCATTTTCTTCTTCTCCTCCCATTTATGGATAAAGTACATAATACAAAATATGTCTTGCTTTTGATTTTAAGACAAATGTAATGGGATTCTTGATTATGCAAGCATGCTCATAAAATAGAAGACAAATGAAATTTTTTTTTAAGAAGAATTCACAGGGCCCAGGAAGAAGACTTAGTGGATGAAATCCTTGACCTGGTACAACTGGGGGACCAAAGTTTGTACCCCGAGATAAATGTAAGGTCAATGCAGCAACCCACTTGTAATTCCAGCACTCGGTAAGCTGAGGCAGGGAATCCCTAGAACACACTGACTAGAGGGACTAGTGTGTCTGTATCATTGAGTTCTGGGTTCAAGTAAAAGACCCTGCATCAATGATTAAATTGGAGAACAATAAAAAAAATTACTTATAATACACACTTGTGCAAACATACATGCACAAACACATGTGTACATACAAAGAACATTCGTATATGCATACACAAAAGAAAAGTTTAAAAACATATTCTCCATTGTTAAAATTAAAAAGTTTATGCCAGTATTTCAAAGACCACATTATAGACTTTTACTAAGATTGAGAGAGATGACTTTCTAGATAATTAAGACCCTCAGATCTCTGTTCTGCAGAGCAGGAGAGATGCCAAGCATAGCTGTAAGCCACTCACAGCTTGCGATCATGAGCAAATCTTTCCTTATGACTCCAACATATAGTTATGGAAGCAAAAAAAAAAAAAAAAAAAAAAAAAAGAAAACAGATGACAAACAACACTTCAGTAAACTATTCACTTAAAATTTACTAGATCTGTGTTCATTTTTTCCATTTCCACGATGGCTACAGAAAGAAAAGGAAAACCAAACAAAGAGAGTCTGCATTATTTCTAATTTTAAAAGTTTGGATTTTTTTTTTTTTTACATTTATTCCATTTACTTGGGTGTGGAGTGGAGGGTAGCTAGGGTTTCACTATGGCAGCCATGTAGAGGTCAGAAGACAAGAAGTTAGTTGTCTTCTTCTATTATGTGGGTTTCAGGAAACGGACTCAGATCATCCGCCTTGACGACAAGCACCTGTACCTGCTGTTCCATTTTGTCAGTCCTCCACTGTTTTGTTTTGTTTTTACAGTGACAAGATTCCTATGGGTTCAAAGTTCCTATGGGAACATCGTAGGCGTGCCATGTTCTACACAAGAGGCAATCATTTTCAAAGAAAATGTGATGAAACTATTAAATCACCAAAACCTTAGTCTAACACCCTACCAAGTTATATATTTATTTGTATTCCTGGGGGCAAACCATATCTTGCTCCATACCCCATCTGTACAGAATCTCACAAATCTCCATAGTTGGGTATAAGATGAATAAGATCCCAGGTGACATAAGATCCCAGGTGACAACATTCTGCCTAACAGATGATCTGTTTGGAGGAAAGAAATGACCATGTATCAAGCATATAAGAATTTCTTTTCATGAAAAAGACAAAAGAAAAAAGAAACAAAAACAATACCTAGATATATGTAGCTCATACAGACACATAGGCATGAAAAATGTTAGCTAGACTGAAAGCAGCTACTTTTTCTGCAACTTGCTTCATTGAGCCAGCTTTTCTCAAAACAATATGTGATGCATACCCTTACAGGGTTTTCATTGAAAAGTCAAGAATCTGGGCATATGTGTGCATATTCTTAGTTGTGTAATACTCTACAAACCCTTCCTTCCCCACTCTGTAAGTTCAAACACTGACTCTTTCAGACGTACACATTGAGGTAGTTAGTGGGAAGAGCTTAAAGAGACTCAGATTTTACAACTTTGAAATATCAGCCCATAAATAGCTCCAAGAAAACAAAAGTATATGAAGAAGAAGAATGGGATGCTTTGATCTTTCTAAGACACAGAGGAACATGGTAGTATTAAGCATGAATGCCCCCCAGCATGCAGCCTTCTAATACTCAGAGATGGACACTAGTTCAACCACCAGTGGCTACTCTTCCTATTTGATTATTTGAAAATAGCATGTTTGCCATACAAAATACAGGATCCTCTGGAGCAGGTCTGAAATACTGCTGTCATTATATACTTTCCATTTCATCTCCATTTACTAGAATAATAAAATCTTAGAAAGTAAACGCTGGCTGTATGCTGGTGGTTCACATAATTAAACCTAGCACTTGGAAGACAGAGGGGGGGAGATTTCTGTGACTTCCAGGCCAGCCTGATCTACATATAGAGACCCTGTCTCAAAATTAAACAACCGAATAAATAAATAAATAAACAATAAAAGTTTTGAGTTAGGGTTACACCATGGCTAGAACAATAGAATAGCTGTCTGTTCAAAGATGGGTGAGGGCAGGCAGGGAAGGATGGCTCCATGAGTAGAGCACTTGCCTGCCAAATATGAGAAGCTGAGTTAAAATTCCCAGAACCAAAGTAAAGCTAGATGTGACAGCACACTCATCTGTGATCCCAGAGCCCCTGTCAAGAGAGTTGAGGTGGAGACAGAGAAATATCTAGAAGGCAACAGGTTAGCTAATATAACATATGCAATCTAGATTTTTATTAAAAAAAAATAGTGTATCAAAGTAGACAGAAAGGACCAAAACCTTATATTGTCTTCTGACCTTCATACACTCACTGTGGTACACATTCATGAACACACACACACACACACACACACACACACACACACACACACACACTCCTCCACCACCACTACTACTACCACCAACCACAACCACCAAAACTCAAAAGACATTTAAATATAATAACTTTAAAAAATAAAGTAAATCATGGTATCTTGGCTACAGGAAATAATTAGCGGATATGAGTAAGTGTCAGAGATGAGGATCTCCTTATTCCGCTAATGGCATGTCTTTGTTGCCTTTTCCCCAGTGAGAAAAATGACAATGGAGACAAGTTATGAAACTGGGGTCAGAAACTGAAGTACCGGCCTATGGTTCCAAGACTAAGGGGGCATGAAAGAACTCACTAATCAAGATAAATAGTTTCATGCACTCTTTAAAACAGCAAAATGAAAGCAGAAAAGGAAAATAAAATTTAAATTAAGACAAATCTGACAAGGCATGGTTTAGGACAGGGTCATCCAAGCAAGCCCTGCATCCGATGATATTACATGTGACAAGACATTGTTTAGAATAGGGCCGCTGAAGCAAGCCCAGAGTCAGATATTTTCTACCTTAAAACTAGGGAAATAGCAACCAGCCTGCAAGATATACCCACTGGCGTATTAGTGGCACAAATGTTACAGAAGTAGTCAACCACATTTTATTAGATTTAAAGCCTCTCCATGAGATTGAGTTCATATCCAACCATGTCAATGAGGCCGCGAAATCAACATGATAGGTCATGAACCCTTAGGGGAAAACCTAATATTATTGCACTAAATGAATATGGCAAGAAAATGACTTCCAGTGGAAAAAAACATAAAACGGATGGGGAAATATTGGGAATGTCACTCAGGGGGTAAAGTGCTTGTCTAGCAGGCATGGGACCCCAGGATCCTTTTGCAACCATATATAAACTGGTAGATACAGTACCACTGACCTATATAATCCCATAACTAGGAGGTAGAGTAAGAAGAGCAAAAGTTTAATGTCATCCTCTGTTGCATGGCAAGTTCAAGGCTACCCCAAGCAAGATATCCTCTCAAAAATAAATAAACAAATAAATAAAGCATGTTTCACAATGAAAAAGAAAAATAATCATTATCTAAAATGCTGTTTTGCCTTGGTGTTCTGTGGTTTTACATGCTGAATATGGTTCCTCTACACCCAGTACTTAAGTTACTGGTATTGCTATAGACACACATGGGAGACTTGACTGTTCTTTTCTGTAAGCAGAAGGCAACATGTGTTTCCCATGTGGCATCAGCAACCCAAACGTCAAGCACACATTTGTCAGGCAGGATCACTGTGGGAGGTCCCCGTTTCTCAGAAAGGCTCTCATACAAACGGACTGACAAGAACATGAGGCTAGCAATGTGGGTGACAATGAGTCCCTTGAGATGGCAAATAGAGGCACTAGGAAGTCCCCAAATATAAGGTAGGGTTAGAGGACATTAGCTAACCACCAGCTCTGGGTGAGGTGAGAATAGAAAGAGGAGTAGCATTTTGAGTGGCAGGAAGAGAGAAATGACAAGATGGGCTGTGAGAGGATAGTGAATAGAAACACACACACAGAGAGAGAGAGAGAGAGAGAGAGAGAGAGAGAGAGAGAGAGAGAGAGACACCTGTTACTGAATGAAAAGAAGGGATCACTCTGACCAGCAACAGGATTATTATAAGGAGAATTTCCTTCCAGTGTGAATAGTGCTAACTGGAGAAGTCTGGTGACATCAGTATTCTATGCCACTCTTGTCAAGATTCTGCTTATGTACTATTTCCATCTCTAGGCTTCTTTAGCCTTCAAGTCCTTGAATGAAGGTAAGCCAAACATGAAGGTTGAATGGGCTGCATAAAATAAAATTCTAAAAAGAAATTTCTGGCTTATTTTTAATTTTGTATGTATGAAAGTTGTTGGAGGGTGCAGGTGCTTATTGAGGTCAGTAGAGGGCGTCGGATCCTGTGAAACATAAGTTATAGATGTTGGTGAGCCACCCAGTCATTGGTGGTGTTGAGAACCAAATCCAGGTCCTCTGCAATTATAGGTGCACTTGACTGCTGACAAATATCCCCAGACCCAAAAGCTATGGATTTTTAAAGAAAGTACTAGAGTTTAGGAGATCTGAGCCACTGACCAGGATAGTAAATTTACTGGCCATTTGTAAACTTGGGTTTCTTGAAATAAAGTTTGCACTGCCTCTCAAAACTCAGATTTGCTCAGCAA